ACCACGCACCGAGGAGTGTTGATAAGGTACAAAGATAGTTTGAGTCTTCAGTTATACATCCTTCCTTTGATAACAGTTAATTGTTTGACATTCTTCTACGGCCAGACCCACGACGAAGTGCCCTCATGTCAGCTTTAAACAAAATTTTGAGCCGTTGATGTCTCTCTCCTTTTGTCATTGCTTGATCTGATGAGTCTTACTAGGCATGCATCATAGCGCATAGTTAGAATATAAAAAACAACAATCTTTTTGTTTGTGTGTATGTTGTGTCGTATATATTCTTTTAAAGACAATTTGTCCTTGCCCACGTATTTGCGTCATGTTTTCGCCTAGTTTTGAATATTAAAGGTATCTCATGATTATGTTTCAAATGGTGTAAAGGAGTAATAAATTCGTATACATGAGCAATTCCATAAAGATCTACAATATTTGATATTATCACATGCGATAATACTTTTTCTGCATAAACCATACGCACAGTGATGGCATTATCATCAGCATACGTTTCTCCAATTTGCACATATATTAATTTGAGTATGAGATGACCATGCTCTTCCAAACAAGAACACTGTAACAAAGATTGATCAGGAGGGATATTAACACAAACAAGACTAATCTTGCATGCACTTCAAAAGTTAACCTTAAATACAGTACTGGAAATAATTATAGAGCCACTGTATTTTTGAAATTTTTCGATGAAGTCGAGTGGCTAGGTCAAATCTGAATGATGCTCTGGATAGCCCTTTAAGTTCTCTATCAAATGCAGTTTGCGTCAAAAGTTCAGAAAAAAGGTTTTGAAGAAAGTTTTCTAGAAAACCGCTCCAGCGGAGCTCTAAGTCCCAGAGAATTTTCCTAAAAAATATTTTCAGTATATCCATCTTAAAGAGCATAAAATTCTGAAAAAGAGAAATGTCACACAGCTCTCCATGATCTTTCTTTGCAAAGTTACGGATATCAGAAAAAACAGAGAAATGTGCTTCTGCTTGTTTTTTAGGCGGTTTTTATATTTTTTTCGTAAATTATACTATTTCTCTAGTTTTTCTGATACCTGTAACTTTGCAACGAAAGATCGCGGAGAGCTGTGTGACATTTCGTTTTTTCAGAATTGTATGCTCTTTTAGATGACTTTATTGAAAATATTTTTAGCAAAATTCTTTAGGACTTACAGCTCTGCTGGAGGGATTTTCTAGAAAACTTTCTTCAAAACCTTTTTTCTGAATTTTTGACGCAAACTGCATTTGATAGAGAACTTAAAGGGCTATCCAGAGCACCATTCAGATTTGACCTAGCCACTCGATTTCATCGAAAAATTTCAAAAATACAGTGGCTCTATAATGTTCTCCAGTACTCAGTAATCAGTGAAGTACAATGCAAAAAGTATACCTTTCCCTCGGAATCTCAAGAACCAAAACAGCTAATGATTTTAAATTTCGTGTGAATGTAGATCTAGTAATATGCCGATCATCTCATTAATGTAAGCCACTGTTACTAAATGGGGCGTGAGATATAATGGTACCATTTCTTTTCGGTAAAGAAACTCCTAATGCAAGGTGAATGAACAGTTAATCTTTGCATCAAAATCAAGTTATGATCCTTTCTTCTATCTACAGTATGGACTTAATGAATTGATTGTTACTAGTTACAAAATACTGAGTTATGAATAGTTTTTGAAAAGGATCTCGAATTTTTTAAAAATGAAGCAATTTTACATTGTGAGGCACAGGTACTTTAAACTGTGAGTTACTAGCATTTTGCCGGAAAGAAACGACGTCGTTATATCTCGCACATTATCCAGTAACAGACGCCTACATTGATGAAGTGATCAGTATATGATCCGATCTACGTTTACACAAGATCTAGATGATTTTTAATATCCAGAGAGTAGGATACTTTTGGCATTTACTGGTGTATGCTGAATACCTTTCGTATTTCTGAAGTTTCGTTTAGTTAGATCCATTCCTTTCAAGCCATGTTAAAGTGGATGAATATGCCTAAAAGTGACTGTTCAACCTAAAGAAGATTCGAGATGAGAAAAAAATGAGAAACTGCACTTTTTAAAAAAATATGCCGTTTCTTCCCAATAGTTGGTATAATTTTCACCAGCAACTATCCGTTGCATGAGCTGTAGATTATCAAGGTCAAACATAAGCAAGACAAATGAATAGAATGACTGACTTCGGCCTACGTAACGATGATGAACTGAGTGTTAGTCAATGAGTAAGTGAATGAATAATTAAAGAATATGTTATCAGTTATATTTGCCACGTCTTCATATAAAAAAAAGGTGTACATTCATTCTACGAGCATGATTAATTTTCTTCTTTCACTCTGTTGTGCAATTTTCTTCTTACAGCATTGTTGTGTAATACTAAAAGAAGTATAAATACACGATTGTTGTGTAGCAAAAACAATGATATTTATTTTCAAGTAATCAAAGTAAATTAACTGATACACGCATAAATCATGAGCCAACCAACAGCAACTGACAATGAGAAAGTAATATCAGTTTGCATCTTGAACATGTATCTGTAAAAATTTAATTCTGATATAGGTATTTGATCACAATAAACATAAACGTGAATATCGACTGCAACGGGATGAATTGCGACAACTCTATGCTCACCAATTTAGCTTGATTGAACAGCAATATCCAAACGCGTCGTCATCGAAACTGTTGAATCTTTTACGACGACATGATGGAGATGTTGATAAGGTATTTTCAAATAAGATAGTAACAAAAAAATAGCCCGCAGGGTCCTCCGACGCGGGAGAAAAGGAGGTTGTTCGAAGCTGGCATTGACTAGCAGAGCATAAAATGTTTACATACGCAGACATGCATGGTTGCTGTTTTTTTTCTGCTTAATGGGGATTTCAGTGTTTTTGTTAGGTTTGTGCAATTTTGAAACAACGTTCATCTCGTCAAACAAAATTTGATCAGATTGAACAAAAATATGGTCAAGAATTAACGAAATTCTTGGAACAAGAGTCATCACATCATTTGGCATCAAAAATGCCGAGACGACAACGTTTATTACGTATAATGGAACGATCTAATGGTGATCTTGAACATCTTCAAAAGTGCTTGAATAGAATAAATAGTCGGCATCAAAATAAAGCGCAGGCAAAGGAAATATATGTCGAACAAATGACTGAATTAGAGCAAGATGGTCTGGATGTTAAGAGTTGGTGTATTTATCGTTTACTACAGAAGTATGATGGCGATTTAACAAAGGTAAGATTCTGTTGAAGCAAAATGACTCGTGTTGCAGTTTAATGGGTAGCTAGATGCTGCTGGTACCCGGTAAAATGTTTACTAGACGGAAAATAACGTTTAATAAGGTAAATATATTTGTTGCATCTATGTATAAATAGGTTCGTGCAATAATGAAATATCGTTTGGATAAAAAGACAGATTTTGGAAAATTGGAATTGGAGTATGATCAACAACTGAAACAACTAGAATTAGATGGTGTTCGTATCAAGAACAAACGTGCTGTAGTACATCTTCTTCAAAAATCAAATGGTCAATTAGATACAGTTAAAGAATTTTTGTTACAAAAACAACAACGAAAAGAAAAAAAGAAATGTGATTATTCATCGCCAAGAGAAGATGATGAAAAAGACCACAGAAAACAAAAGAAAGCTCGTATGGCCAATATGAGTAGCGATGATTTGGAGCATTTGAAGCAATTGCGCGCAGTCGGCGTACATGGTAATCCAATAAAAATATTAAAAATATTGCATGAAGAATGTAATGATTCAGTAGAATTAACAATTGAAAAATTTCGACAGCATAAGGAGCAACGTAAACGCGAGTGCGAAGAACGACTAAAAGTATGTATTTTTAAATTTCTATGATAAGTTTAAATCTATGCTCAGAGTTTAACATCTTGTCATTCTTGAGGCTGTATTCTACTATGATAAAAAAATTTCAGATTAGATTCGTGAAATTTTATAAAAACCTTTTGTTCCACCTTGCACAGTGGGCATTCAAGCGGACATTTGGCCAAAAAGTCGAAAATGAGCTTTTTCAAATTTGAACCGTCAGACATGTAGCTCTTGAAAAGGGCTATCGAATGGTGTATAATGATCGACTGATAATG